CACATACACATAGTAAATCACATGGCACATACACATAGTAAATCACATAGTGCTATGACGATACCTACCTAATACATACACAGTAAATCATATACTCACCATTGCCTATACTTAAGACCGTACGAATGCAAACGTGCATAGCCACCTATGTACATACAGAACATGTGCATAAGATAAGATTAAATCAAATAAAATTGGATAAGATAAAATTGGAAATTGATTGTTCACCGCCAGTTTAGGACGGAACAAACACCCGCAGCTTCAATTAAACTGGACAGTCGATGAGGAGGGAGAATCTCGGAGTACAACCGGAGTAGAACTGGCGGCCTACCATCAGCAGCTTGCTTCCTGTCTGCAACTTGCACAAGACCTCATGACAAGATTCCAAGGCCTCTCCAATCTCGTGTAAGCAGGCCACGTCAGGTGGACACACCCCCTGTCTCCGGCTGTCCAAAATTTTTTTCATTTCCACTAGCAGGTCGAATACCTCGCCTAACCTTTTCCCTACCCCCTTACAGGGCTTCACCAACAGCTTCGCTTCATCCGCGGCTGCTCTGAGTAATGGGCGCAGACCCGATATCCGCTCAATGGCCGTAGAAGCCTCCCTAAGCTTCGTAATATTGAAAAACGACCCCATGACGATACAATGAAGAAGAAGAAGAAGAAGAAGAAGCAATCAACCGCACTCCTGCTCCCTCTAGCTATACCTTCTTCCTTCCTTCCTCTCCCTTCCCTGCGTACTCGTTCTCCTCTTCCCTCCTCTTCCCCCACCCTCCCTTTTCCCTTTCTTCCTTTTCCCGACTTCTTCCCGACTCTTTATCCTCCTTTCCTCCCACTTCCCTCCTCCTCCTCCTCCTCCTCCTCTTCCTCCTCCTCTTCCTCCTCCTCGTCCTCCTCCTCGTCCTCCTACCCTTCTTCCTACTGCTCCTCGCTTCCTTACTTTCCACGTTACCCTGGTTCTTCCCAACTCTTACCCTCCCTCCTCTCTACCACCTCCCTCCGCCTCTTCTCTCCTCCTCCTCCTCCTCCTCCTCCTCCTTCCTCTTCTTGGCCCCAGACCTTCGCTTCTCCTGCGGAAAACTCCCTTCGTTTCGCCTTTGCTGCAGAACGAATTAAAATGGCCGCCTCGCTCTAATCACTCCCTCGACCAAGTCCCCACCTCAACTCACCCGCCCACATACACGTCCAGATTCTGGCGCTAAATCTCTCCGATACCCACCCCGCTTGTCCAAAAGCGAAGGCGTCGCACAGAAAAGCTCAATCCCAGAAAAACGAGTGCCCAAGCAAAGCAAATTCATAATAACAACAACAAAAAGTCGTGCTAATTACAAACCCCCACACAGCAAATCGGAAACACTCACTATACCCAACACGCCTGCCACGTGGTCACTCTTCTGATCGTATCCAGCAGCCTCAGTTACGGCCAGATAAAGGCGACACACACACTCACGATGTCCCTGACAGGGAGGGAAGCAATGGACCCCCAAGTGCCCAAATGATCGAAAGAAACACAGGCCGCCTGAAATTAAGGGCGTGCTCACGGTGACGTCTCTGAACACATCCCAACACAAGGACGGGCAGATTCACGCGACACACTCACAGTGTCCCAGTCTGAATGCGTGTATCCGACCACAATCACGGCCAGTTTGTCTGAACGTGTGCTTCTAAGGCAGACTCCTCAAATGCAAGAGGCTGGAAACCACCACCAACACCTCTCTCTCTCTCTCTCTCTCTCTCTCTCTCTCTCTCTCTCTCTCTCTCTCTCTCTCTCT